AAAAATAATAAGCCTACTGTACTCACTAGGTACTCTGGTCTAAAACTTTCTCTAGATAGAAAAAGATACAGCTATATAACAATATTTATAAAAGCATTGTACTACTCGTGTTCCTGTTTTTGTAAATAACTTAGTTTTAAACATTTCTTTATTATAAAAAAAACTCGCATCCACCAAAAGGTTATTAGCGACGAAAAAAAATATATAAACAAAACAAAATTGAATAATTACAAAATATAGAACATATTTAAAGATCTTAGATATTTAATTATATTATCATAATTATCATAGGGACACTCCTGACCTGGAGTTTCTGCTAGAGCAGTGGTCGCCAACCTCTTCAGTGTGTTAAGCTACTTTGTTAATTTTGGAATAAGCAGCGAGCTACCCACACGGAAGCCACGTAACGCAACGTAAATGAAATAATCCACAGTTAATCTATCATTATATGTATTTATTTTACTATTTAACTGGTAAAACATAATACATAGGTACTAATAATAAACTAATAACAAAATAACTAATATTATACTGGTACGTACTTGTACATAGCTACATTCCTACCTATCAAACGAAGGTATTTGAAAAATAAACACAAACTTTTATCCAGCCACAACGGCATGTCACGCATGATTAAAACATAGTTAATAATAACAACAAAAAAGTAACGCACTATCATAAACATAAACATTGAAAACAATATGACGTTCAATGAGAAGGCTGACACTCAGACTCATCGATAATATTTTTAATGTTTGCAGTATAATTTGATGCAGCCATTCGAATACAATAAAATTATCCAAATGTTTATCTGTAAGTGGATTGTGATATTTGTTCTTAATAAACTTCATATTGGAAAACGAAGATTCACACAAATAGGTTAAACTGAATAATGCTTTCACTTTCACGGCATAGAACTGAATATTTGTGTTTACTTACAATAGGCCAGATACATTCAGTACTTGAGACTAACGATTTTAAGGCTAAATCATTTTGAAACTCAATGACTTCCATTTCTGTTGCAGCGATGTCTTCGCCAAAGTTCTGCATAACACAATCTGCAAACTTCTGGATATCAATTTCCATAAAGGGTGAAACAACAAACTGCGCTACTAAAGCTATTTCATTGAAATCCTTAAAACGATTTTTGAAGTTACTCTTCAGAGTAGAAATTATTTCTACATGATATTTATTGTCATAGGGTTCTAATAAATTTTGAGATATTTTTTCTGAAAGAATAGGAAAATGCTTGGAATCGCTGTTAATTAGGTTTTGTTCTCAAAACTAATGCTTTTATATCAGAAATCATTTCCGCTAGTTCTTTGTCTCTCCCCTGAAGATGCAAATTAAGTCCGTTTAATTTCTCTGTAATGTCCACGAGAAAACCAAAATCTCTAAGCCAAATTGAATTTTCTAGTTCCGGAGTCGGTTCATCGCGTTGTTTGAAAAATTGAACTATGCCAAATAGGACATCATTAAAACGTTTCAGCACCCTTCCTCTACTTAAACATCGGACTTCAGAGTGAAGGAGTAGATCCCCGTATTGGCAGTCAACTTCATCGGCCAAGGGTTCTGAATAATCTTCTTTGTAACGCTTGAGCTCTAATCTTGTTCACAATTTTTACCACCAGTTTCATAACGTTGTTTAGTTTCAGGAAATTTCCACATAATGCTTGCTGATGGATAATGCAGTGGTAACAGAGAAATTGCAAAAAAGTTTTATCTTTACGACATAACGCCACCAGACCCTTATCACAACCCACCATAGCTGGAGCGCCATCGGTTGTCAAGCCTACCATTTTCGATATTGGAATTTTCTCGGAAGAAATAATATTTTTTAAATGAGAAAACAACTCCTGTCTAGTAGTGTGTCCTTTCAGTGGAATGAACTTCAAAAGATCTTCTTTAATCGTAAAATCACTAAAAACCATCCTGACGAACACAGCCATCTGGGCAGTGTCAACGACATCTGTTGATTCATCCAGTTGAAGTGATAAATAAACACAGTTATCTAAGTCAGTTCTTAACTGTAAAAAAATATCATTGCTCATTACTTCTACACGTCTCATCACTGTATTAGCAGAAAGTTGCATAGATTTTATAGCTGAAACTATCTCGTCTTTATTTCTAAAGTTGGCAAATAACGAATCAACAGCTCCAAAAAATGCCCATTATTTCCCCGTCTTGATAAGGTTTCTTTTTTTGTGCAATTATCTGGAACACACGGTACGATGCTTCAGTTGCAGCCTTATTTTTGCCGACTGTTCTTAAAAATATTGATTGTTGTCCAATTACTCTGTTTCAGTTTCTCCTTTCTAGCGGCATAATGTAGTGGGAATAATTTTTCAAAATTAGAATGTACAGTTTTATGATGTCTCTCAATATTTCCTTTTTTATCAACAAAGATCGAAGTATTACATAACAAACACACATTTTTATCTTTAACTTCTGTAAAAAAGTATTGCTCTTCCCATTCCGAATAAAAGTGTTATGTTTTTACCTTCTTACAACTGCTTGCCATAATATTATTTTTGTTGTTCTCTAAACCGTTGGACGTTGGTTACGCGTTCAGTTTTAAACTAAGCGTAATGTCGCCGCGCCGTGCGTATTTATCCCGTTCAAAGCAATCCAGGTCGTTCTCGAACACTAACGCGCTGGTCCGGCTAGTCGTTTCTATAAATAGCCGATTCTAGCTTGACGGCGTCAGGGGTAGATCGCTCACCACAACGTTGCCACTGTTTATGTTTAATATTATGACAATTAGATTTTTTTGTGGAATTTTCGGAGTTTCTCTGATTTTTGCAGTTTGTATTTTTTAAATTAAAATCGTTGTGAGAGCTACCAGAATTGCCTGCGCGAGCTACCGGTAGCTCGCGATCGACAGGTTGGCGACCACTGTGCTAGAGAGTTCAAAATATTGTAGCGATGTCTTTCTTGATCATATTTATCACCTGTTAATCGAACGTAACATTGACCACGCAAGCACAATTTGTTCACGCCTGTTAATCGACGATGGAATTCACTGGGAAACATTACTCTTGATCTTATTCAGCTTAGAATTAGTTTAAGACCACTCATTTCGCCACAAACACAACACTTTATTTTTAAAATAAGCTTTTGAGTCACTGGAAAAACACCTCCGAATAATCGCTTAAAATTGCCTATCGTGCAGTCCTGTCAGCTTCTTCGTTTCTTATTATTCCGACGTGTGAAGGTACCCACAAAAATTAAACTCTTCGTTCATGTTGATGAACTTGGGACATCTGGTATTTAAGGAACTTTACAAAAGGGTGTTCCGGAAAAATATGTTTTAATGAGTTTATAGATCTAAGAGAATCTGTTATGATCAGGGCTTTTGTGAAGGTTGGCTTGTTAAAAATTTTCACAGCACGGTGTATAGCGTGGAGCTCAGCTGAATATGTGCTACATATTGGAGGTAGATGGAAAAGAAGATTGTTTTCTAAGGAAACGATTAATGTCCCCACTCTGTCTTTCTAAGAGGGCTTCGTGCTTTAGCCGAATCAAGGAATTGTTTGTACTGGATTTATCGAAATAGGCCAGAGATGTAGCACATATTGGTTAATCGATCAGCCAATGCTCAGGGTATTTAATATCCGAGGAGAAAACATCCAGAAAATTAGTAGTGATCTTTCCATGCAAGCTTTGAATCAAAGAAAAACCCAAGACTTTGTGATGATCTCTAAACTCCAGCTGCTTCCCATACATTCTTAGAGTTGGAGGTTGTGGCAAGGAGCTTTAAGGGAATATAACTCCTATTGATTTTTCTATTAAAAATTAAAAACCTATAAGGTGCGACCAATTTTCGAGAGAATCTAAAAAGTTTTGAAGAATTGAGTACATTAAGGAGATATTTTTGCCTTTAACAGATCCCACTAGGTTATCAGCGTATAAACAGGGATTTAAGGGTACTTAGATATTTTTCATTATATTATTTATTGCCAGTAGAAATAATGTTGGACTGAGCGCAGATCCTTGGGGTGTAGCTTTTTCCAAACAAAAAATATTTGGAAAAATATTATTTATTTTCACTTGAAAAGATCTGCTATTTAAAAAGTTTTGGCTAAGAACCAGATATTTTTCTAATTTTGTTCCAGACATCAGAGAGGTATTGCTATTAAGTTTCGATACGTACTTATTCCATGAAAATGTTTTAGCAGATTCGACAGTTAGCTGGGCCCTTACTTTTAGCATTTTAAACTTTACTTTATTTTCGAGTGTTTTTTCCTTTTTGTATCGTTTTAGGGCTGATTTACTTTCACAGATTTCTGCATCACAACGTTCATTCCACCACGGTACATGACATCGAGCGGTAACAGACTTAGATTTAAAAATAATTTTCTAGGTAGCATTTGAGTTAAGTTGACTTAACTGTTCCATAGTTGAGTTTATATCGTGTTATTTCCAAAGTGGAAATATTATTATTGATATATTCGGAGAATTTTTGCCAATTTGCATTTTTTATTCTACAGTTAGATATAAATATGGGACCTGATGAGGAAAAATTATGGTTTCCAATAAGGATTGGGAAATGGTCACTACCCTATGTATAGGATAGAGCATCCCAACTGAGGCAATAAGCTAAATTTAGATCGCAAAAAGTTAAATCAATCAAATTAAAAAAAAAAAAAAATTATATTAAGTTGATCTAAGATATCGGCAATACCTGTGCTTCTGGCAGATGTGTGATCTGACACCCATATTATGTTGAGAGCATGAAAGTCGCCTAGAATTATACAAGGACGTGGGAGTTGCTTTAATATCCTGCAAAGGCTATCATGATTTACTTGTGTGTCAGAAGGAAGGTAAACATTGCAAATAGACACTAAACTGGTAGTTGAGATTCTGACAGCGATAGCTCCCATTTAAATATTTTAAAAACTTTTAAATCCATGTATATTAAGTATTGAATGATCATGAATCAAAATTGAATGATCGTTTAACTCATGATGATTTAACTCAATTCAAATTTTGATTTTTAGCTCCTCTGAATCTATTGGTTCGCTATGGACTTTCTGGCGAATGAGAAGGTATGTCGTGGCTGTACTGGCATTTTTAGGATTTTTCACCTCATATGCTTTGAGGGTAAATCTAAGCATAGCCATAGTAGCCATGACCGAATTTAGGAATGTCACCTTGGAGAATGGAATGACTATTAGGGTAAGTTTTAAGGTTTTGTATTTACTGATAACTCATCAGGTATTTACTGATCTAGTAAACAAAGCAAATCAATAAAATTTGTAAAAAATATTAAATTAAAATGTACGACTAAATTATTTCACTGAACATTTTTTGAACGCTTCATAAAATAAATATTCACTCTCATTTACATGAAAATTAATATTGAAGTAGTATAACGATTTACATAGAGTGTAATATTATCTCATTCTAATCAGTGCTAATATAATGAGTAAAGCCCATATTGATTTTTTGATTGACGCCACTCATATTAAGAAGGTAGGTATTCACTATCATCGTTGTTTACTTTTTTGATGAACATGCCTATATATTGTTGTTTTCCATAAATAGCTTTCTACGTACCGAAAATAATGAATTTGTGGAATGCTTATTGTTTTTATTGCTAGGTTGTAGCGGGCGAGCTAGATCGGTTACACGAGCGCTGATGCCGTCGCGTTGATTACGCGGAAAACAGGGCGCATAATGTCCAAGTTATACGTGACATAGGAACAGGATTATTATGTCTCGGAACAGGAATGATTTCATTACGACGACTAACGCGAGAAAGAGGACAACGAATTTATGGAAAATAAGAATACTTCGTATCGGTACTTATAAAGTCTCTAAATACAAGAGAACAAGCAGGAAATTACTAAAGAACTTGTAGAAAAAAATATAGACATATGTGCACTACAAGAGACGAAGACAAAAGACAGAGTCAAATTATGCTAGTTGGCTATCTGATGATTTACAATGGTGTTGGGAAAGAAAGCAGAGCCAAAAAAAGAGTCGCCCTGTTAGTAGACAGAACATTTTTACACCAAAGACAAAAATGTAAATATTCCTCCGAAAGAATAGTAAGTGTAAAAGTTAACCTGGATGTCAAACCTCTGAATGTGATGGCAATCTATGCACCAAAGAGCAACAGAGATACCACCACAAGGGAAAACTTCTGCAAACACCTTAAGACTGTAATAAACGAGACCCCAAATGATGAATATACCATCAGTATTTGTGATTTTAACCAACATGTTGACAATGATATAGTTTCAGGAAAAAAAACAGCAATATAATGAAAATATCAGAAATGGAAACGGAGACCTTCTGACATACCTCTGCAGCATAAACAAGATACGTATTAATAATAAATTTTTCCCTTACAAAGAACAGTACAAATACTCTTTTAAAAACAGTAGAGGACAAATATCTATGACAGACTATATTCTGTCGAATAGAGATTTGTAGCCCTCTTAAATTTTGGATGTAAAAGCACTAACATCTGCAGAAATAGGAAGCGATCATAAATTGGTATTGTGCAAAATCCGAATGAAAATACATATATGAGATAACAAAACACCAGAATACACCACAAAGATAAAAGTCGAAAGGCAGAATTTACAAAACAATCATAAGACCAATAATGACATATGCGGCAGAAACAAGACCTGATACAGAGAGGACAAAAGGATATTAGAAACAGCAGAGATGAAAACACTTAGAAAAATTGATGGTAAGACACTATGGGACAGAGCTAGAAGTGCAGATATACGACATAAATGCAAGGTGGAGAACATCAAAAACTGGGTAAGAAATAGAAGAGTAGAATTGAACGATCATATAAGCCGAATGACAACAAATAGAGTAGAAAAGACGGCAAGAGACGATTCTCCATTAGGAAGACGATCAGAAGGAAGACCACGAAAACGATGATATAACAACTTACTGAAGGCACATTGAGAAAGAGACAAAGTCATGTCTATATAAAAAAAAGTAGAAGAAAAATACTTTTCTTTTTCTTGGAATAGATTTCTTTAACCAAAACTTTTCATCTTTGCCGAACCATACGTTTTGTAGGTCGGTAATCTCCATTATTGCCTCATCCTCATTAGAATCGCCGGTAATCCCAACACTTTCTTCTATGATGGTTTCTGTGTCCTCCATTTCTGATCATAAGTGGGTGCTGCATCTAAGTAGTCATCCACACAGTTTTCGTATTCTTTTTAAAGTGATTAATTTAGTTTCTTCTTCTTCTTGTAGTGCCTATCCGTTTCGGATGTTGCCGATCGTCATGGTAATCTGTAATTTGCAAACTTCGGCTCTGAAAAGAGTTAGGCTTGACTAATTACAAATTTGGCAGTCACATTCAGTAATAGTAATGGTTGGTTCATTATACTTACCAGAATTATAAGCAGCTTCTTCCAACTGCAAAATTTTTTTGATCGTAAAGAAAAAAATGTCATCATGGTCAAAATGCACTTTCAATACTTTTTGAATTGCCACACATTCTTTTCACTCTGCTTTCAGTGGCACAATTAAAGCTTCGATAATAAAATATGATTTATATACGCCTTCGTTACAGTTTTTTCAGGTATCATTAACAATAAATCCACCTTTCTTTCTTCGAAAATGTATAGGTACAATAGGCAGGAAATTAGAAGATTAGTATTGTTTTTACTAATAATTCTTTGAATGAATAGATAGTAACTCAACATATTGTAAATTTTTCTAAGTTTTTTTTTGTAAAATGTACTATTTACATGTTTTTCTTTTACAGATAAGAGATTTTGATTGGGACACCAAACTCCAAGGATACATTCTAAGTTCATTCTTCTATGGTTATATAACAACTCAGCTCCTCGGTGGTTATTTAGCTGCAAGGTATGGGGGTAAAAGAGTATTTGGCATCGGCATAGCAGTTACTGCTTTGTTAACTTTGGTGACTCCTTGGATAGCTAGGACTAACGTCTACCTTCTATTGGCTGTGAGGATTATTGAAGGTATATTTGAGGTTTGTAATTTTAGCATTCATATAGACAAGTAATAAAATATGATTAGTATAAAAACAAAACCTTATATTATTTTTGCGTCAGATCAAATAAGAGGACAGTTTAATTAAAGGAAAGCTCAACCACGTCTAAGCATTGATCTCCAAATTTCAGTAACGCTCAATTCCGCGGCTGAACCATATTATCTTTACTGCTTTTTTATCTGATACCTTACACCTTACCTTACTCATTAATTAATTAATTTATTTATTGGTTGTATGGATAATAGCAGAGTATCTTCGTGCTACCTCAAATTGGTGATTCTTGTTTTTACTGAGCTGTCTCTTTTCGAAGGTTGGCAATCCAAATGGCAATTGTAGCTTTGAAAACTGCTGCACGAAAGATCTCTGCCGATGAGCTGTCAAACAATCTTCCTCAGTCTTTCGCTGCGAGATCTGAAATTGGCAATTAGGCTTTCTTTTTAATCACTATAATATAAATAAACATTTCCCTGTAAATTTTGTAAGTGCAATTTAACTACACATTCTAAATTATTATAATACACCTAGTTTCAAAAGTTATGCATCATCAAAAATTAACTATTTTCAGAAACTACTGATATCGATCCTACTGAGGTATTGAGGTACAAGAAGTACTGTTAAAAAAAAAATAAAACATTAATAATTTTATTTCTGATTAAAACGTAATTAAAAAAATTTTTAATCCTGTAATTCCACCACGGGCATCGATGCAAGCCTGAATTTGAGCTCTAATAGCTCTAACTTTCCTCTTAAGGTGCCTTTTCCATTACTGAAGGTTGGCTATAACTACAGCAAATTGCTCTCTATCTTGAGCTGTTCTTAGTATCGAATGTGTGTCCATACCTGTCCAGTCTCTTACATTCTTCAATCAGAAGCATTTTATTCTTCCTGGACCTGTTCTTCCTTCCACTTTCCGTTCCATTATCAGTCGTAGGAAGCTGTATTTTTCTCCTCTGTACATATGTCCTAGATAACTCGTTTTTCTGTTTTTTACAATATTTATTAGTTCTCTCTCAGTACCCATTCTTCTTAGCACCTCGTTGTTGGTCACGTGCTCTGTCCAACAGATCTTCAGCATCCTTCGAAACACCCACATCTCAAAGGCTTCTATACGCCTCATACTTGTAATCCCGAGAGTCCATGTTTCTACTTCGTATAGCAATATGGAATAAATAAACGTTTTTCAAAATTGGTATCGGATATCCAACAATAACGTAGAGGTTATCAGGAATTTTTTCATTCGTTGAAATGCGGACCTAGCATATTCTACACGAGCACGTATTTCGACCTCGTGGTCAAGATCGGTTAATATCCAGCAACCAAGATACTGGAATCTTTGTACTGGTTCTATATAGCTCTATCAAGTCGATCAATTATTTCCTTTAACAGATTTTCCCATTTTTTTCTACAGGCAATTATAAGATCATGATATGGTCTAGGAGGATTCCTTCAGTCTTGAACAGCTCTGCAGCACATCCCGTGCAGGTTCAATGGAATTCATGCCTGAAGATATCGCAGGCCACTCCAAACTGCGAATACTTTCTGTCTTAAGTTAGTCATTGACCGCTTGACCCCTATGTAGGCAAGCGTTATCACCCATATATACAACATTTTTACCCACAGCTCCTTCCCATAATCTCACAAGATCTTCACTAAAATCCTTGTCCAATGCCGTGCGTTAACCTGCCATAATACCTGCCCAAAACATAACACAGCTACCAGTGAAAGGGAGTATAAGATGCTAGTTGTGCACCTCTTATTGTCTATCGTTGAACACGAATTCGTCGGCTATCACTATTTAAACAGATTCTGGTCTCGTCTGAAAAAAGCAAAAAATTATAAAACTGTTGAGGGAGCTGTATATGTTCTGGAGCTTACTGGGGGCGTTGTGAAATATGTCTCGGTTGTAGCTGAGAAACTCTTATTGGTTGAAGAATCCTCAAACCTGTCTCTAAACTCTCTTTTTGAAGGACTAGTATGGACATAAAAGAATTTCTCCAAATGGAAATTCTGATATATCTATTATGTTGCTCATTGGTAACGCAGGAAGGTCTGAAGTCTCTTTGAAAGACTGGTAGAGGCATAGAAGAATTTGTCCTAATGGAAATTCTCATATATCTACACTGTTGCTCATTGGTAACTTAGGTTCCTCTAGACCAGTGTTTCCCAAATAGTGGTCCGCGGACCCCCGGGGGTCCGCGACATATTTTTCGAGGGTCCGCGAGCCCACGGCATAAAAAAGAATAGGCAAAAATACGTTCACAATTTTTTGAAGTTTTAAGAATTAATGTTTGATCTGGCAACGGTGCTTGCTAACACATAAACACGTCATGGCTTCGGGCGTGGCCTTGCTTCGGGCGTGGCCTTGCGCCTACGCATTTTTTTTGTCTGAGCTTAGTTTCTCCTGTAACGTGTAAAGTAATGGTAACGTGACAACTTTAGAATCGATTTGGAAGCAGATACACACAATTTTTATTACAATTGTTCGGTTGATTAGTGACTAATAGTGACTAGTGTTTTTACTATGGATCGTTGGTTGAAAAGCGGCTCTTTGAAAAGACCACACTGTGATGATGAGACGGAACAACAACCAAGTATTTCTCAGGAGTCAGAAACTCAACCTAAGGCAGCGAATTCGACGCCAAAAAGTATTGGTAAGTTTCGTGGGAAGCAACGAAAATATAATGAAGAATATTTACAATTTGGATTTATTGAAAATACCGTCAACGACGAGTTAAGACCACAATGTGTTTTATGTTTTGATGTGCTTTCAAATGAATGTATGAAACCGGCAAAACTTCGACGTCATTTACAGCGAAAGCACCCTGAATCAGAGAATAAATCTATTGATTTCTTTCGATTGAAAATGAAAGAACTTAAACAGAGTCAAAACGTAATAAAAACAGTTGCTTCTGGAAATGAAAAGGCCACACTTGTTTCTTTTCAAATAGCGGAATTAATCGCTAAATCTGGAAAGTCCCACACTATAGCAGAGGAGTTACTGCTTCCAGCTGCGCAGATTATGTGTAAGACCATGATTAGTGATTCTGCTGCAAACCAGTTGCAAGTAATACCTCTCTCCAACAATACTATAAAAGAAGAATAACCGATTTATCCCTGAATGTTGAACAGATTTTAATTGCAAGACTCCAGATTTGTAAAATGTTCGCCATACAACTTGATGAAAGTACAGATATTTTAAATAAAGCAATTTTGTTGGTATTTGTTCGTTACGACTATGATGGTGAAATTCATGAAGACTTTTTGTGTTTACGGGAACTAATGCGTACTACAGCTGACTGTGTGTTTAACGCTCTCAATGATTTTTTTTACTGAATCTAATATATTGTGGAACAAATGCGTTGGATTAAGTACAGACGGAGCCCGTGCTATGTCTGGAAAATTAACGGGTCTTGTGGCACTCGTGAAAAATGTAGCACCCAATATAATATGGACTCATTGCTGTATCCATAGGGAAGCTCTAGCTTGCAAAAAAATGCCGCCATCGTTAAAATTGGTCTTGGACGAAGTTGTTAAAATTATTAATTTTATTAAGGCCAGGCCGTTAAACTCCCGTGTTTTTCAAGCAATTTGTGAAGAAGCAGGCAGTGAACACATTCAACTCCTTTTACATACAGAAGTACGATGGTTATCCCGGGGAAAGATTTTGGCTCGATTTTTTGAATTGCGCAACGAAGTGCGACTTTTTCTAAGTGAGAATAAATTTGAATTAGCTGAACGACTTAACAATTTTTCTTGGATGTGCATGACAGCATACTTATCCGATATTTTTGTTTTTTTAAATGGACTGAATCTACAATTACAGGCAAAAATGTAAATATTTTTAAAACTGACGAAAAAATAGAAGCCACCATACAAAAATTACAAATTTGGGCTAACCGTGTGGAACAATCATCTTTAAGTTCATTTCCGACTTTAGATTCGTTTCTGAAATCCGAGGAAGAAACTTTGCCACAAGAGATTCAACTTATAATTTGCGAGCATTTGCGGAATGTAGTTATAAGTTTTCGTGAATATTTTCCTGCACCAAATGATGAAAACAGCTGGATTAGAAATCCGTTTGTTACATCAAGAATTGAAGAAAATGCTAGTCTTACAGAAAAACAACAAGATCAGCTCGTGGACTTGTCTTGTAGCAGTTCTAAAAAAGATATTTTTAACGACAACGATTTAATTCAGTTTTGGATTAAAATTAATTCTGATTACAACGATCTCTCCGAAAAGGCTATGAAACATTTGATTCCATTTTGTACGACGTATTTATGTGAACAGGCTTTCTCTGTATACGTTATTTTAAAATCAAAACAAAGAAATCGACTGGATGTTGTTTCAGATCTAAGGTTAAAAATTTCAAATATTAGACCTGATTTACAAAAAATTAGGAAGGAAAAATCAGTGTTCCATTCTTTTCATTAAAATTTAAAACTGCTGAAAATTTATAAGTTTTATAATGTAATCATTGTATTTTATTTCTATTTTCTTTTATTAATTATTAATTAAATAACATATTTAAAAAACGCAATAGTTGTTTTTTTTATTTTTCTAACGAAACTGTTTTCTGGGGGTCCCCATGATCCTATTGTCTAATTTTGGGGGTCCGCAATTTTGAGACATTTGGGAAACACTGCTCTAGACAAAGTTTTTTTTATAGATGGGGGGTCTGGAATCTTCAAAAACATCTCATTTCAGGACGCCACATGACTGATCTTAGTGCAGGATTTGTTCTTCGCACGCCTTCCTGCTAAACTAGACACTCCTCTTTCATCCAGCGATCCGGAAGATGTGAAGTCTCCAGAAACCTATCCCATATCATCCTAAAAAACACCCTCTCTTTCTGTCACGAACCGATGTGAATTGCCTTCAACTAAAGCAATAATTCTTGCACGGTCCAACTGAGAAATTAAATTATGGTTTATTGTAAATCACGTTTTTACAAATATTATTAGAATAAATTTTTCAAATTTTTCACCTTTGCAAAACCAGATCAATTAAATGAGTATTTAAATAAAACAAAAAAGTAAATTAAATGAAAAAGTTTATTCGTCTTCCGGTTTGGACCGTGTCATTTGTGAGTGACCCAAAAGTGGGTTCATCTCGACGTTTCGCTACAATTGTATGTAGCTTCTTCAGGAGAACAAAGAAAATTTCCCATGCCATTAAACAATCCGATCTTTCCGATGATGTTAAGAAGTCCATATTTCCGAAAAACTCCATCTGCCCCAGAATTTACGGTCTTCCCAAAATCCATAAAGACAACGTACCTCTTCGTCCCATTGTGACTACGATTAACTCTCCTACCTACAAACTCGCAAAGTACTTGTCGAATTAGTTTAAGACATATACTGGTCGTACCTCTTCTTATGTCCGAAATTCCACACATTTCCCTATGTGTATCATCCCTATTTACCAATATCCCCATACATGACTCTCTAGTTGTTCTACGAGATCACTTGACCAATGATAACAAGTCTTTGGTTTTGGCAGATCTTGCGGAAAAATGCCTCCTTTCAACATATTTTTCTTTTAGAGGCAACTTCTACAAACAAATATCTGGAACACCAATGGGTTCTCCCCTTTCCCCTGTCATTGCTGACATTTTCATGGAAGCCTTTGAGTCTTTAGCCCTAGAATCTTACCCCTTAAAACCAAAAGTCTGGTTCCGCTACGTTGATGATACATTTATCATCTGGCCCCATGGTCAACATACCCTTTTTTCCTTCCTAGATCATCTCAACTCACAACATCCGAGTATAAAATTCACAATGGAAGTAGAAAATAATCGGTCCCTTCCCTTTCTCGATATGTTAGTCACCTCCAAGCCCAATGGCCGATTGGGTCACTCTGTTTATAGAAAAAGACTCACACGAATCGTTACCTACATGCTTCATCACACCACCATCCTGCCCAAAAGAATTCTGTGATCAACTCTCTCATCCATCGGGCCATTTCGATTTCTGAACCTGACAACCTTAGAGAAGAACTTGGCTATCTGCAAAAAACCCTTGTCGCCAACGGTTACTCCAAGTCCACAATTCAAAATATTACACACCGACATCTACATCCCCCTTTACACCCTAGGACGACAAACCCAGAATCTTCGGATAATACTCCTGTGGCTTTTCTTCCGTATATTCGAAGTGTCACCGATAGGATTGGCAAAATTCTTCGCAAAGAAGGTATCACGACTACTTTTCGACCACCGAAGAAAATCTCACAATATCTACCCTCTCCTAAGGTCCCATTACCGCCCCTATCTTCCTGTGGTGTCTATTCTATTCCTTGTTCATGTGGACATGTGTATATTGGCGAAATTGGTCGTTCCGTTAAAACTCGGATTTAAGAGCATCAAAGATGCATTCGATCAGGTCTTTTCTCCCATTCTGCAGTTGCAGAACACTGCCAAGAAACCGGTCATTCCATATTGTTCGAAAAAACATATATTATTTCTAAGAGCCCCTTCTTCTATTCCAGGAAAATCCGCGAATCTCTAGAGATCCGAAAAAATCCACATAATATCAATCGAGAGGAAGGATACTACTTGTCTCCCATCTGGAATCTCAGTCTAGAGCTGCCGTCCGGTCCCGCTACCACGATGCAGCCACATGATTGGCCAGCGCGCGCTTCTTGACGTTCGCGCCACGGAGTGTGCCGATACGTCCCGACACGACAGGTCACCGCGACTATAAATAGAGCGGTAGCGGAGTAATCGTCGGATTCACTCCCCACCTCTCGACGCGTTAGTGTTCTGAGCTGTTGGACGTGAATCCCTGTCCTGGCATTTGGTTTTCACCTCTGGCTGCGTTGAGTAGTTGAGTTACTGTGACCAAATGCCCATCTTGGTAGTTAGTATTCGCCTCTGGTTGCGTTGAGTAACTGAGTTACCGTTGCTAACTACCAATCTTCCTGTCTTTTGATTTCTTTTTCTTTGTTCTCCTGAAGAAGCTACATACAATTGTAGCGAAACGTCGAGATGAACCCACTTTTGGGTCACTCACAAATGACATGGTCCAAACCCGGAAGACGAATAAACTATAATTCTGACTCTGGCCGTGGAAGCCTACGATTTCATTTAAATGAAAAAGGCCTATTAAACATGTGATGAGGATACGTATTTATAAAAGTGTAGCAATCGTGAATGCATTACTTTTGAAACTATGTGTATTATATTCTATTTAACAAAGAACAATAATAGTTTCTTATATATAGGGTGTTACATATCCATGTATACATGCCATTTGGTCTAGATGGGCGCCACCTTTAGAACGAAGTCGTCTAGCTACAATAGCTTTCTCTGGAAGTTATATTGGAACAGTTGTATCGATGCCACTTTGTTCAATTTTGGCATCAACTCTAGGATGGCCCAGTATCTTCTACTTTTTTGGTAGGTATTAAACAATTTGAATATTTATGTGCCACAATTAAATTTTTATCTTTATATCAATATGAACTTGTATAATTGGTAGCAATAAAGGTATTTTATATTTAAACAATACATTAAAATACCTTCGAAGTGTTTGTTTTTACAGTCTCAACTAAATATTTTTAAACTTTGTTTTAAAGTAATAATAATTATGTACGTTAAACGCGTAAATTGCGGTTTTAAAACAAATTGTAGTAAATACGTAAATAATTAAAATGTTTTAACAATGCTATTCAGGGAAAATCTCGTAAGACTAAATTGTTATGGTATTTTGTTTATATTAATAAAATTTTTTGCAATTTGAAGATTGTTAAGAATGTTTCGATATAATGTCATATTCTCTATTTGTAGATATGATACGTTATTGTTAGAGTTCGTATTTAAAAGTATAGCAAAATGCAAAAAAGCGCTGAAAAGCATAAAGATTTTATGAAAAAAAAAGCATGAAAATAACCATATACATTTTGAGAAATCATTCCTTATGAAAATTGTAGCGGTTATATTGCCTACCACCTCAGGTATTTCTTATAGGGGGTTAAAAATTGGATATAGAAATTACTGGACCCTACTGGTTCTAAGTTTAACCTAAGAGCCCTTGTGTATGTTCTTGTGTTCAAAATAGGTGCTAGCTACTGTCATATTGAGTGCTGCTGCTAAGTTAATTAATCGTAATCCATTATCGCTACTGATGTTTGTTTTGATGATGTGTAGGCTATGCTTTCCTATCGTGGGCATAAAAATTCGCTTTAGTCCTATTCTTGCATCTAAGTCACCTAATAAAATCTTAATGTCATTTCTGGGACATCCCTTGTAGGCTTGCTCTAGGTCTTCGAAGAACTGTTCATTTATTTCCCTTGGTTTGTCATCATTTGGGGCATGTGTATTGATCAAATTGTAATTAAATAATTTTCTTTTGAGCGCAACTAACACATTCTTTGACTGTAGGCTTTAAAGTCAATAATTAGGCCTTTTGTTATTTGGTTTACAATAAATCCCACCCCATCTATGTGTTGGTTTTCATTGCAGCTATAATATATATGGAATGGGTTCTCTTGTTAAAAGTGCACTATGTCTAGTAAAGATATGAGTGCTTCAGTTCGGTACAGGATTCGAGTATTTCATGTTCCTAATCTTAATTCCATTTTTCGTTTGCAGAGTCATTGTCGTGAGTTCCGTCCAGCTAATAGTTCCTGAGGTTCCGCAACTTATGTTTTTTAGAGGAAGAAATTGTCAGCCTCTAGCCCAACCCCCAACCTGGATGGCCAGAGAGTCTTCTGTTAGGATTGCCATACCTTAGTTTGTTTTGGTTCGCATTTAGTATTTTTATTTCTCATCTACCCATCGGTCCTATGACCGGTTAGTGAGTTCCCCTATACAATACCTGGGGACGCGTTCGACGGGAGACAGATAACTCCTCACGGAATTCATTTAATTGTTCCATCGTAAAATTTCGGCGCCTGTCACTTAAAACATTTTCATAAATCGACTTTTTCAACGTCCACACTGGTTATCGGTGCATGTTTATGCTTTAATGCTACTACCGGATCCATATTTATATCTTCAACGTTCATTTAAAATTACAAATATTTTCTTGATCTTCCTTTTTTGTTAATACATCTTTGAATTATGTTAATAATCTGATATATTCTGTAACTTTAAAAAAATCAAACAGAAATGACCAAGTCAAATCGTAATTCCCGAAATCGGAATGTTGGATATCTATCACGTCGTTTTCGTGTTTGGATTGGCATTCTGTAACTCACATCTTATTCAGTGTAAATTAATAATGGGACGTGATTTTACTAACGGTGATTCAGTCACGGTGATTTATAAATCACCGATAACTAGCGTTCCTTGCTAACTTCGGTAACCGTGATCGGATACCAGATATATCAGATATAAATTAATGGACACCATCTCACAAATCTTGTTTATATAATAAATATTATATAGAAGCAGTGAATGACTTTGTATACATAGGAGCACTCCTTAACACTGAAAGTAATGCTACCGCAGAGTTTGCACGACTAACAGATGCTATTTGTGCTCAATCTCCTCCTTAAATCCCAGACCTTAAGTCCCATAGACCCATCGATTAGAGAAAAAGCGAAAGACCCAGAACAAGGTTTCTTAATAACATGGATAAAGACGTAAGAGATATGTGAATACGTGCTTGGTGGAGGAAGGCGATGGATATGGACGGCTGAAGAGAAATGCTTGAAGAGGCTAGCACGCAGTGTTGTAAAGTCAGAATAATCATGATGATGATGATGATAACGATCTTTTTACGAGAGTTCGTCGAGGTTTATGACCCAAAACATCTTTTGTGTGTACCGTATATCTGGTGCCAAAAGATGCAGACTTTTAATACAGGCTACATGAGGTATAGGAAGACCCACTCTACTTATTTATTTCCTTGGTGGATAATTATTTTGCAGTTTCATGGCAATATCCTCCGTTTCCTTTACCCATTGTATTACAGGTTCACTTTCATCTAAAATTTTAAAAGCATTTTTGCTTCTCGAGTAAAAGATAGTAATAACCATTTTTGATCTGAAATGTTTTCCAAGAAGACTGCTTAAGTTCTTATTTTCTTTTTAGACATCTTCCATGATACGTTTTTTTTTGCTTTAAAAGACTAACCATTTAAATAAAAATTGTGGTTTAAAATGAGTATAAGCTTTTTGTTTAGCAAGACTTTTTTCTTTAACATAAACCATTTTATTCCTAGAAATTCTTTTGTACGGTGGCCAAAATTATTTTGTTCTGTCTTTTGTTGTGTTGCTTTATTTCATAAAACCAGTACATTTTTTCTAGTACAATTTATAAAGTAATGTACAATAAAACAATTACGTTTCTATTCGAACATTTATTGTAGGTACTGGAAATATCATAAAAAAATTGTGACTAATGATTATTCATCGCTAATAGTGCATTATCTAACATTTTAAGTATCCAAACTAATAAATAATATGTACTTTAAAATTTTATTGATAAATACATACGTCTGTTATTTCGGTTTATATTAAGTTTTTAAAAAGGTTTTAAATCTGTTTTCTTGTGCCATTATCTATGTTAAATATCTATGTTTAAGGGAGAGTTGCCAACAGTGAGACGCTTTTTTTTTGTAACTGGCATAACTTTTTTACTATTTTCTAAAAGCAACTAGTTTATTAGGCATATTGAACCTGTAACGTCCGTTTAAATATTCTAATTTTGTGTTTCTTATTATGTAGAATATTTTGTGGCAATTAATTAAAACATCTGCTACTGTCTCCCTGCTTTGCACAGTTGCCCAACAGTAAGACCAGAAACATCTCAAAAATATGCATTTGTTGTTAACTTATACGAAAAAGGCATACATTCAGTAATTAGCATTTTATTATATTTAGTAGTATTTACACTATTTTAACTTAAAAAGTTTCATATTATCGAAAAGGTACTTAAGAAAGCAATATATTTGTTACCAGTTACCAGCTGTTCTCCGTGTGTAGAGGTTTACTCTCCGGCTCTGGAACTCACTTCAGCCATGTATGTTACCTGAAGTCATATTTAATTTAATACTGAACATCAGTTTTTTTAACAACATGATTTATTTAACAACATATATGTAATTTAAAGGGTTTTTACCCATGTATTTTGGTGGCTCAGGCATTTTAACCTAGCAATTTTAAAATTTAAACCTGATGATAGACTGTTTAGTCCGAAAACGTTTGTTTTTTTGATGTAGCCCTTTTAAGGGTTTTTTAAATAAATATACCCATTTACGAAGATTAACCTCTTTTTTGTGATACGTGGTATACAGCCAGCTACAGGAATTGTTTTCCTTGTGGATTTTCTTAATGAGAGTTGTTTATGTTGGTCGCGAAATCCCCGAAATTGTTTATTCATTTTTTTTACCGTGACTAGGTAGTCTGTAGCCATTTTGTATCAAAACCTTTATTAGCAGGTTTTTTCCTCCTGAAATGCATTTTCATTAGAGCTGGTGTTTCGGACTCTATGATGCAATGATTTGATAATTCCTTTTTTGATGTATAGATTTTGGTTGGAGTAGTAATTTAAATATTTGTTGGTGTGGGTTGGTTTTCTGAAAATTTTGGATGCATATGCTTGTAATATTAAATAGGTTTGGTGATAAGTTGAGGTGCTTTTACGTATTTACTCAATTAATTTCATAATAAACGTATCTGAATTTACTATATTGGTTTAATTAAAATGTTTATACTTTTTACTATTCACGAAGCAGATATAATAAACAATAACAACTATTGGTAGTCTTAGTATTTATATTTTTAGTTATACAAACAAATGTGAATTTCCGATGTTACCAGTTCATGTAGGTTCGTTGTCATTTCAATTATAAATAATTCATGTATTTATTAACTTATTAATAAACTATCAAGCCTTTATTTGCTTTTAATGTTTAAGGTTAAAACCTTACGACATCTTGTGTCCTTATTTATAACTTGTAATTCTGCCTGTCGCATGCGACGGAAGGTTCAATCAATGGCAATCTGCAGTCACTTGTTAAATTTTCTTAAAAATAGAAAAACAATAAACAATAAACTTCTGTATATGTATATTTTTTATAGCACGCTATTTAGGCACATTATATCTACTACATGCCTCATGTCGGTTTATTTGATGTGTCAAATGCTAGGAATCAGCTAGTTGTTTATTTTGTAGTCAGCCAGAGGCCTTCTCCAGGTCAATAAAGCAAATTTTACCTTATAGTGAGTCTATTATCATCCACGGTGTCATGTGATATTTCGTATATCGCTATACGTTCATAAATAACAAAATGGTGTGTCCACACACCCTTTTGGTGGTCGCTTTATTTGTTTTTTCTATCTTAATATCCTCCCTCTTCATTTGCTATGTCGCATGTTAGTATTCGGTCAGTTGTTTATTTTGTACTTAGCCAGAGGCTTTCTTTAAGTTGATAAATCTAAATTTGTCGTATAGTAAATATATTTTTATTCATAGTGTCCTGATATGATATCTCCTCATTGTCGATATACGTTCATTAATATTGAATATACTGTGTACTGCCCTTTAGGTAGCTGTCTTATTTGTTTTTTTCTATTTTAATATATTTGTTATTTCCTTACCTTTTATTTAACATATTACAGGCTCCAACCGGACCAATAACAACGGAGATCTGATATAATACCCTTTTGGCATTGCCTCCATGTGTGTTTTTTTTGCGTCAGTTTTCTCTGTTGCACTGGTGGAACAGGCTGGTATTGAAAAGATCAGTCTATATTGTATCATAACCATCAATTGTAAAAAACATAACCTATAATCAACAACTTATACGTTTTTGCAGAATTTTTACAATAATCTTTTTCAAAAACGATCTCTGGAATAAAAATATAAACGTCAGACAATAGTTAGTTAAAAATGTAATTTTCAATACAATAAATTGTGACTCAATCCCATACAAACATATTTAAATTAATATTTTGTTTTCCATTTCTAGGAACGGTGGGTTTGATATGGTGCCTGGCTTGGATGGTAATAGTAACTGATTCCCCAGAAGACGATAGAAACATAACCGAACAGGAACTGAAGTATATAATAAATTCCCTAGAAGCAAAGAGCAGCAAAAAAATGAAGATACCATGGAGTTCCTTTGTTACTTCGATGCCAGTGTGGGCTATTACTGTGTCGCATTTTAGCGAAAATTGGGGATTCTACACCATGTTAACTCAGCTGCCCAAGTTTATGAAACGTATGTATTAAACAGTACTATTATTACTTTTAAAATACTTTACTGAAGGTGAGACCGTAGATGATCGACAAGGGTTTGAGATCAACATTTTTCTTCACGCTGAGAAAAGTGCAGATCTTAAAATTAATATATCTTAAGTAGAAATACGATTTAAAAATGATTGATGTATTCTGGAATTGATTACTGGATGATTGATACAAACCATTTACAATAAAATCTGTAGGGAAGTTAAATTATCTCGTGCTTTCCATTGAAGTTCAATTTTAAAATTCAATTTTCTTAATAAAACTGTAAGATGTTACTCTGATAATGCCTCTTTATTATAAACCATAAAACAAATGGTTAAAATTTCAGCAAGAAAATAAATTTTCACAGCATACTTAGACTAGTATTTTTCTTGATTGTCCTACATATTTCTTAAACTATTCAAAATATTGACGATATAAATTAGGTCATTTTATTTATTTTCAGGTGTTTTGAATTTCAATCTACAAGGAGCTGGATTCACGTCAGCCTTGCCTTACTTACTCATGGCGATAATGACTCAATTCTCTGGCCATTTCGCTGACTGGTTCATCGTAAAGCGCATTTTATCGGTGACTCAAGTTAGAAGAATTTTTAACTGCAGTGGATTCGTGGCTCAGACAATCTTTATGATGGCTGCCACATACTGGCTAACACCTGTTGGAACTACTTTTTGTATTAGTATGGCTGTAGGACTGGGTGCATTCGCATGGGCCGGATTCAGGTAATTTTGGTGACTAATTAATTACTACAAAGATAACTATTTGTCTAATATACAATTATTACTTAAGGTACTGGTATGTTGAGTATTCGAGTTACCGAGATCAACAGCCTTATCCTGGTACTAATATGACTAACTACAGAAATAACGATATCGTGACCAAACTGGTAAAGTAGCGAATGTGCAAAAATGGCGTATTTGAGCTAATACACTAAACAGTTGTAGATTTACCTGTTTGGATTTTTGCAGTGAAAGGAAGAAGATGACAAATGTTTCTTGAAATTCCAGCTATAAGCAGTGATCCCAGTGATAAGCTTACTATAAATGATAACCGCAACCCAGCACAAAATCAAAATCATTTATCGCCAAAAAACGAAAAGTATCAAAAAATGGTGTTTATACAAGACAGCAGGAAGCATTCAAGAGACTTAAAGGTTTCGAATATTCAACAGTAAAAGGAAAATTAATTAATGAAAGGCCCCTAAAACAACCCAGATGCTCTGGTTGAGTCAAGCATAAATGTTTATCTAATGTATCTGGGTCTGAGAGAGACAAAATCTATAATGGTTTCCATAAATTGCCATCCCTATTAGAACAACGGCAGTTTTTTTTTGCAACATTATTTTGCAACCAAAATCAAGAAAAGTGACGGAAGCAGTGGAGTCACGAAGAGCTTACACCAAAAAATACACTTTTTCGAGTTGAGGTGTGTAGAGAATTTTTTTTTTCGATACTTTAAATATTTCAGAGTCACTTATAAGAGGGGCTTTTATAAAGGTTAACTCTAGTGGAATTCTCCTATCTTACTTACAAACGAAAAAGATCCTCCAAATAAAGTAAACACTATAAATGAATAATCCATAAGAAATCACATTTTATCGTTTCCAAGAATGGAATCACACTATGCAAGGTCTGCTAGAAGTAAGAATACCAATATTTAGGCAGTGACTTAAATGTAACAATTATGCACAACTTGTATAAAGAAAAGTTCATTAAAGAAAACAAAAATCCAGTATCTTTAGAAAAGTACAGACGAATTTTTCATGAGTACAAACTGAAATTTCACAAACCTAACAAAGGACCAAGAAAGTGTTTTGGCAATACAATCATATCTCCAAACCATTCTGAACAGACCAAAAGGAGCTAGTGGACCATTCTTCTACGTCAGAAAGTTGGCTGTATACAACCTTACCATTTACAATCTTAAAGATGCCAGTGTTACATGTTGTGTCTGGAATGAAACAAAAGGAAATCGGGGCAGTATAGAGATATCGACATGCATTTAAACTTATTTGATGGGCCAAACCAATACAGAATTTGTCAGAATGATGTCGGATAGCTGCAGAGGGCAGCAAAAAAATTCCAAATTCATTACTATGTGTATGAATGTTGTTCAGGAGCACCCATCTATTAAAAAAAATGATCACAGGTTTTTTGGAGTATGACTCCACTCATGCCAAGATAGAGCATCAAAGTAAAAATGTCCCAATTTTTACTCCTGAGGTGTGTGCCAAATAATTCGCACTGCTAGAAATAAGCCAACACTATTTCAAGTAATGTCTTTGTGCCATGATGACTTCATTTATTTCTGTACTGATAAGATTTCTTTTGAGGACCCTCATATGACGTACCTTTTGTGAAGTACATTGCAAAAGGGATAAAAAACAAACGGGGAAGGCCTTCTTCTAATAATTTTCCAATAAAACCTTACGAATCTATGTTCTCAATTGCTACCAAAAAACTAAAAGACCTTCAAAAGATTTGTAATGATCCTCAAATACCACGTGTTTACCATGATTTCTACACAAATCTTCTCTTTGAGGACAGTGGACGATTTGCCCTTTCAGAGCCAGATGCCTCTGATAATGCAAAATTATAAAATAGTTTAGCGTTTCATTAAATTTTGTTCAATCTTAAATTTCTCTATTCTGTTTACCTACCTCAGGAGAAAACCAATCAATAGGTGATACATAAATGCAGATATATGCATAATTAGAACAAATGCAGACTCGCTATTTTTTAAAGTCTAACATTCCAACAATAGTCACTTAGGTAAACTAACGAATGTGAATTTTTCAGTAACTGTGGTTACTTAGCCTATTTTCATTATTAATCTTTTTTAGGCATTTTTTTAGGTTTCCAGATCAAATGTGTAAAGACAAATAACATTACAAACAGATCTTTGTCGAAGCCTAAAGTGTTTTTTAGCCCTACCGAAAAGTAGCCAATATGCACAATGCACATTCGCTACTTTACCAATTTGGTCACGATATGATGTGGTGAACTTACTTAACTTAACTTAACTTAACTTACAGGTTCTTTAAAAAACTTTTTTCAAAAAGACGACTACTAGAAAATAATGATTTTTTATTTGTTTCCTGCAAATTGAAAATTACATAAATATAAATTTTATTTGTTTCAGCATTAATCATCTAGACATAGCTCCTCAATATGCCAGTATACTTATGGGTTTTGGTAATACCTTTGCGACAATACCTGGAATTGTTAGTCCTATTTTAACTGGATATTTGGTAACCGACGAAGTAAGTAATACAAAACTATAGCAGTATTTTGACGATCAAAAATAAAACTAGTATTTCTGGAAAAGCCCATAGATAAAAGTTTTAAGAATATTTTAAACGAAAAGATAATCTATGAAATCACACATACACACACACTGCACAGTAAATCTCATCTCTTCTTCTTCTTCAAGTGCCGTGTTCGTTCCGAAGTTTGGCTATCATCAAAGCTATGCGTATTTTTGATGCTGCAGATCTAAACAGTTGGTAATTGGTGCAATTGTACCATTCTCTCAAGTTTTTCAACCATGAATGCCTTCTTCTTCCTATAGATCTCTTTCCCATTATCTTTCCCTGTATAATCAATTGCAGCAACTGGTATTTATCTCCCCTCATAACATGTCCCAAATATTGTAGTTTGCGCTTTTTAACAGTAAGTATCAGCTCTTTCTCTTTCCGCACTCTTCGCAAAACCTCCACATTTGTTACTTTCTCTGTCCAGGGTATTCTTAATATTCTACGATACATCCACAACTCAAATGCTTCTATCTTTTTGGTATCGATCTTTTTCAATGTCCATGTTTCCATCCCGTAGAGGAGAACTGACATAACGTAACATCTCAAAAGGCGAATTTTAAGTTTTAGACTTAGATCTCTTCCGCAGAACACCTTTTTCAATTTAGTAAATGTGGCTCTAGCTTTCTCTATTCTGGTTCTGATTTCTTCAGAGCAATCATTATTTTCGTTGATAACTCATCTCTAAGGGATATGAAATTCCCAAAGTAGGGTCTAATGTCTGAAGTTTAAAAAGGTCACGCCTAGTGAAGACGGTACCTCCTTGGCCCCTAAACTACTACCAAAACCCCTCATAAAATCACAGACATAGTGTTGGGGAGAGTTTCGGGTAATTTCGGATGCACTAGAAAATGCCATTTGAATCCTTTAGAGTTGCCTCTTCTCCAAAGGTGTGTCCGTTCAGTTAGTCAGTGACATTGGTTTTTAAGCTTAATACTAGGCTCTCCGTACTAGGGTTTTGTCTGTCCGGACGATCTACTGCCGATTTGACCTCCGGTGTTGGCTTACCTGGCGAGCCGACCACCCGGAAGGTCTGACCACCAAACCCATGCCTAACGGTACCCTGCCTCAATGCTCAGGAATACGCGGTTGCTCCATATGGGATAGCTATGGAAAAACGGCTGTCCTGTTTTAGATTCTTAAACTCAAAAACAAATGATTAAATGAGTAGTAGTATAATAGTATTTTTTTCCTAAAAATCCTTTATAAAAGGTATATTTATTTAAAAAGAACTCTTACAGGATGAATTGCAAAACGTTTTCGAAATGAATATTCCCTCTTCAGTACTGCTACTAGGTATACAAGTTTAAAGTCAGTAAATATATGGGTGAAAACATGGTTGATGATCATTAAATAGGATGTTAAAATTTTAATTAGTTTCGCTTCATGGCAACATAAAGTCTCAACAAGGATTAGGGTCCAGAGCCGTAATCTCTAAACGGTCCTAAGGTAGCAACTTTGGGTAGACTTACTTTAGGTAGCAAAAGTTCCTTTAGAGACTTCGTTACAGGACCCTTTTTGGCAGTCAATATTGCCATCAAGTGAATCTACTTAAAATTGTATGATCCTATGGTTGCTGATAATTATGTAAGATGTTAAAATTTTAAGTAGATTCACTTCATGGCAACGTAAATTCCAAACAAGGATTACTGGTCCAGAGCGGTAGTCTCTAAACGGTTTTATGATAGAATTAGGTAAGACTTTAAGTAGCAAAAGTTCGTTTAGAGACTACTTCTCTGGACCAGTAATCCTTGTTGTGAGTTTACGTTGCCATGAGGTAAATTTACTTAAAATGTTATTCATCACATAAAATTATCAGCAACCTTGTAATCTAATACCGATTAAATAATGTTAAAAAAACTTTGATCAAATGAAAGGCAGATATCGAGCACAGATTATTAATTAAATCTTGCCCAAGTACTTTTGCTTCCCAGAGCATCTTCAGGGGCATTTTGTCAATTTTGGCCTATCCAACAATCTGTTGAGAATGTCAAACATAAAATTGTACATTATACTACACTACACAAGGAAAAACGGTTTAAATTTTTTTTTATATTTTTACCAAGAGGAAGCTACAATATGGTTGACATCAGGAGAGAGAATAATCATCATTATCTCTCCTGATGCCAACCATAATGTAGCTTCATCTTTTTAAAAATAAAAAAATTAGTATTACTGTCTTTACAATTTTGCTTATTGATGATAGAAGGCTGATTGGTCTGTAGGTTTGAGGGAATGTATCATTATTTCCTGCTTTCCGAAGCATTCATGTACTCTACTATGGAGCTGAATCATGGACATTAAACCAGAATACAATAAATCGACTTAACGCGTTTCAAATGTGGATATTTAGAAGATTATTAAGGATTCCATGGGTAGATAGAGTCACGAATACAGAAGTGTTAAGAAGAATAGGCAGAGAGAGGGAAATGGAAAAGACAATAAAAGAAAGGAAATTGCAATATCTCAGACATGTGATGAATAACACTTACACAGTGGTATGTACAAACTTAAAAGTGGCGACTGCCCAAAAACTTACATCAGTCATACTGGTAGAAACTTTAATAAACGAATAGCAGAACATAAAATGGCTTTCAATAATAGAAAAAGAGATTCTATATACGCACTTCACCTTCTAGATCACAATCATTCTTTTAATGACGAATTTAAAATTCTTCACATTCAAAATAAAGGCCTTAAGCTATCCTTGTTAGAATCTATGGAAATCAACAAATTAAAAAACACAGATATAATTCTGAATGACCAACTTGAGACAAACAGTTCTCCCCTCCTCAACATATTTCATTAGAGACTATAAATTTGTAAACCCAAGCCAAAAATAGATCACTTGAGAAAGGCAATCAGCCGAAACAGCTGTAAAGATAATTGGATAAAATAAATTTTGTCTTAGTTTGAAAACAAAGTTTTCAGTGTTTTATTGTTACATAAATATGTGAATCATAAGTTAAATATCCATATAATATTATGATCTGAAAACCATTTTCAAATCCTCAACAACATAAAGCAGTCTTCTCAAGTAGTCTTCTCTAGAGGTACTACAATTTACTACCAGTAAATCAAATTAAAAAAATCTATGGACCTTTTAAAATTAAACGTTTTTTTGCAGACCAGTGTTGACGAATGGAGAATCGTCTTCTACATCTCATCGGCGATTTACCTCTTCGGAGCATTGTTCTACGGTCTTTTTGTCTCAGGTGAGCTCCAGCCTTGGGCAAGGGAAACTGAACAGCTGAACACTGACAACGAAAATTATGGAGCTTCATCAACTGAGAACGGACAAGGTGGATACGTGAATAAAAGTTTTGAACAAGATAAAAATATATGATATTGAAATAATCTCATTACTAGCTTTATTTGAATTAGATTATTTTGAAATAAACACAATATTGTCCCAGTAAATATTGTAAATATGTGTGTATATTATTTGAGTAAATTATATTATTCATTACGTGCAGTTTTATTATTTCCTTCTTAACAATCTTAGAAAATGTAAGAGTCATTGTTTGGAATTTTTTTCATTTACATAAAGTACCCCCAAAACTATGGCAATTGGTAAAGGAACAATATTATTAGATATATAATAAATAATGAGAACAAATAATAATTATATCACTTTAACCAATGCCTATTAGGTTAAATCTTGAGGTAGAGTTGAGTGGTTTTTAGAAACTGTATAGCTTTGGTGATCTCTGTAGGGTTGTTGAGCATTTCCTTAAGAGTAGGTTTCAACTTCAGTGCTTTATACAGGTCGGTGAATTGTTTGCAGTCGGTGAGGAAGTGTTTTACAGTCAGGTAAACATTGAAATTGTGGCCAATTGGATGAGTCCCAGACGATATAAAGCAATCATGGGTAAGTTTGGTGTGATTGATTCGAAGCCTTCTAATAGTCGATGCTTCTCTTCTAGTTAGGAAGTCCAGAAAGAAATGACCAATAAACGGTTGGAGTTCATAAAGAGTTGTTTTGCTTTGCCATAAATTTTGCCAAGAATGCTCTACTGATTTTTTGAAAACGAGCTAGAGATCGTTAGCTAGTTGAATTGTGGTGATTTAAGTAATATGGTGGGTAGCTTATTTAGCAAAATGATCTGCTGTTTCATTACCAGTAATTCCAGTATGAGAAGGCAGCCATATGTGAGGGACTGTTACATCGTGACCAGAGGGATTTTGGTAAATGTCATTAATGTTTTGAACTAATGTGTGGTCAGTTTTGAACTAATATGTGGTCAGTGAAAATTGTATTGACTGAACGGATAGATGGAAGAGAATCTAAACAAATAGCAATATGTCTGTTGTAATGGAAGACGCATTTAAAAGCCAACAGAACACTATATAGTTGACCTGTGTAAACGCTGCATGGTAAGGGTAACCAAGATGATCTTAAAAGTTCATGTTTAGTGGGTACTGCACAGCCAACACCAGTGGTAGTTTTAAAAGCATCGGTATAGAGAATTAAATCTTATGATTTTTTTTGTATGCTTTCTGAAAATGCTTTCTTTATAAAAATGTTAGAAGATTCAGGGTATTCAGGGTATTCAGGGGGGAGGGGGGAGGTAAAGTTAGAGAAAACAAAGGAGGTTAATATTTTTAAGTAGTGGAGAAATTAATTGAGGTATATGTGTTGGATATTGTTAGTGGAAGAAGACGGTATTGTGGTAACAGAAAATGAACGGGTTTAAAGGGATTTAAGGATGTTGATACAGCATACGGAGCGCGCTATTTTTAAATTTAGAGTGTGTACACTTGCCGCTGAATCCACGTAAGTCGTATTTACCTTTATCGTATGAAACAATGTGGCGTCCCTGGAGTCTAGAGGATAATAGAGCAATTTAGCCAGTATATGAACCGGAACCAAATCGACAAGGAGGTGATCACATTCAAGTATTCGAATCTGTACACTGCCAACAAATACATTTATCTAGTGATGCAAAACAAATTATTGCCAATGTTTTTCAAACTTTTGTCAAAAAAAATTAGGACAGTAATGAAGCTTTACATGAAACGGCAACTTTGACTAAAAAGCCATTACCCATAGTCAGAAAAATTGTAAGTAATCATATTATACCAAGATTAACAAGACGGGATAAGAGTATTTCTCTGAAGCTTGATCGTGCAGATGAAGATCTTATTTGTCGCAAAGTGTATGCCTTGTATGAAGAACAAATTGTACCCACACTAGATATATTAGTTGACAGGTTTCACGTCAACAACACTGAAATTAAGTGCGGTAGAACAACTGTTTGGAAATGTTTGTAACGTATAGGGTTTAAATACAAAAAAAGGTAGTTTAAAGATAGGTACTTATAGAATTGTATCGTTTACGGCTGTGTCGAATGGAATATTTAAACAAAATTAAACAGTATCGTCGAGAGAACCGATCTATTTTTTATTTAGATGAAACGTGGTTTGATACTCACTATACTTCATCTAAAGGTTGGGTAGATAATAGTCAATCTTGTTCAATAAAAGCGCCTTCTAATAGAGGAAAAAAAAAATAATACTAAAAAGGATTTATTGGGCATTTTAAAAAGTTTCGCATTGAAAAAAGTATACTTTTTTGATAATTATGCCGAAAATATGGGTCATACAATTTTAAGATTCCCGCCATATTACTGTGTATTTAATCCAATCGACATATGTGGCATCAACATAAGTCAAGAGTTCGAAAAAATAATACTTCGCCACATTTAAATGCATCTATCCTGCATATAATTGAAATTGAAGTACTCAACATTGATGCGAATAGTTGAAAAAATGCAGTCTCACATATCATGCAAGCTGAGAATTCATATTTTCCTACGCATAATGTACAGTTGCGGTCACGGAATAGTTTACACCTTACTTTTTATATTGTAATACTGTAAAATTGCAGTGTCGTACGGATTTGATAAATGTCAAAGTCAAAAAATTTCAAAACGTCAATGCTTTAGCGAGTGTTCAACAATAAAATAAAAGTATATTAAACTCTTCCAAAATGGTTAGAATACATTTGAATTATGCGCAAAAAGCAAGAGCAATTGCCAAACTCGAAGAAGGTTGGTCACTAAGGCAAGTTGCTGCTGATTTGAACGTGAGTCATATGCGCATATGGAAGATTAAACAAAGATGGGATAATTTTCACTCTATAGCACGGTTGGGCGGTTCAGGAGGGCAGAAGATTTCCACAGATCAACAGGATGAGATGTTAGTAGATTATTTGGGAGAATCTCCTTTTGCCACAGCTCAAAAGGCAAGAGAAGAGGCAGCGTTTCCAGGCAGTATTCGCACTGCACGTCGAAGAATTAAAGCAAGTGGACTGCTAAATTGTGTAGCTGCACGGAAACCTTTTTTGACTGAGGATCACAAGAGGAGACGAGTTGAATTTTGTAATGAATTTATAAACCGCGATGAGAATTTTTGGTCTAGGGTTGTATTTTCCGATGAAAAAGTATTTCAGTCGTATAATAATGGTCGAATAAGAGTTTATAGGCCGAGAAATCATAGGTATGATGAACAGTATACGCATCATTTAAGAAATAGTGGAGGATTCTCTGTCAACGTATGGGGATGGATAAGTGCCGAAGGCCCGGGCGTTTGTTATCATGTAGAGGAGAAGTTAACAGGATTATATTACAAACATATTATTGAGCACACAATGTTGCCATCGGTGATCCAGAGATTCCCCAACAACGACTTTATCTTCCAACATGACAATTGCCCGGTGCATACGAGTAAAATTGTTCGAGAATGGCTAGAAGAAACTGATGTTAATGTTCTTCCGTGGCCTTCCCGTAGTGCAGACTTTAACCCCGTCGAAAATGTGTGGGCAGAGTTAACAAAGAAACTAAATGAAAGAAACCTTAGACCACGGAATAGAATTGAATTATGGGAAGCAATTGAGCAGGCATGGGAAGAGCTTGTTAACTATAACATGAGGGGATTGGTGCTATCTATGAACAGAAGACTGCAAAATTGTATTGACAAGAATGGGGCTTCCACCAAATATTAATTATTATTTATCATTGTTTATCATTATTTAATATAAAATAGATTTAAAATAAAATGCATATTAAAAAAAAAGACTTCTTTATTTTCGTTATTAAGATCATAATCCATTTTATTCAAAAAACTGTTTTCTATATTTTTCATTTTGTAAAATATTTTGATATTTTAATTTTAATCTACCTATTCTAGCTAGTACACCACTGGCAACGTCACTTTGACGTAAAAGGTGCGTTTAAACGAAGTAAAAATTTAAAAAATGGGCTCCTAGATACGTGAACCTGTAAACTATTCCGTGACCGCAACTGTACAAAATATTATTATAAATTTAAGAGACGACAGTGATAGTGACACAGATTTGACATAATATCTATGTAATGTAATATTTATACTCGTTTTGTGTGTGTGTGTGTTTTGTGTTTTATTGACACTGGTTTTCATAACCAACTGGCCAGTCAATTTCATAATGATTTTTTTAGACTATAACTTATCACTAATTCAGGGGAGTAATGTGTAGTATCTGCGTTGAGTAAATGTCTTCTTACTTTAGTAAAAGTCGACTTCATTGTCTTTACAAAGAGACGCTAATTCTATCCGAACGTCTGCAGTCCCTCTGTGAGTACCCGATTTACTCGTTTTAAAAGGTTCATATTTATTCATGTTGACTTGTTATGTTTAAGTTTTTCGTTTCATGTATGAAAAAGATGGCAAAAAGTGGGAAATTTCTCTATTAATAATTTCATGAAAAGAAATTATTTTTCAAATCTGACAAATTTTGACAAATAAGTCATGTCATTTTTCAAGAGATAATGTCATAGTGGGCTACTCACACCTGTTGAGAAAACGTAATGCTGGGCATTAATGGGTTAAAGCCTTACGACTTGCTTATTTGCAATGTTGGAGTTTATTTAAAGTTTGTTGTGATGGATATTTTATTTTTTATAAATTTCCATAAAAAAGTGAGAAAAGACGTTTTCGGTATTTATAATTGTCCTTATCGTTTAGTTGTGTTCCAAGATATATAAACTCCGAGACCCCTTCAAATGTGTGTGCTTCTATCACCAGCTCTTGTGGTGCCGCTATTTGTGTGCTGTTCGTGACCTTCATGTATTTTGTTTTGGATATGTTGACCTGCAGTCCCATTGTCTTCGCGGCTTTTTCTAACGTTTCAAAAGCCTGTATCAGGTCTCTTTTTGTCCGTGTTACTATGTCAATGCCATCTGCGTAGGCCAATATCTGTACACTTCTATTGATGATCGTACCTCTGGTTGTTATGCCCTATTTCTCTATGACACTTTCTGGCGCGATGTTAAACAATAGGCACGATAGACTGTCACCCTGGAGTAATCCAGTATGTGTTAGAAAAGACCTTGACACTCTGTTTTGTACCTTGACTTTGCACTCAACTTTTGAAAGAGTTGCCTTTACCAATATTATTAGATGCGATGGAATATCTAGTTTTGCCATGGC